GTCCTTCATTTTGTTCCTGTCCCTTGACCACAAAGAAATAAATGAACATTCCTGAGGCACTGACATGGGCCGGGCGAGGTGGGAGCCTCCTTCTGGATATTATTATCCTGTTTAAATGCATTATTTTCTCATTCATTTCACGATTGCCCAATATTCAGAGAAGTTACATTACGCAGCTGAAGCTCCATAATAAGTGCATGGAGGTGAGATTCGAACCCACGTCTTTCCCATTCTACTTTTTGTGCCTTTCTGTTTTATTTTGCTTCTTGGTATTCCTGTGTATTATTAATAGTCTGAAGCTTGGTAATAGATGCAATAGTCATTAGAGTAAAGCAAATACGGTATTGTGCTCTCTGAAGGATAACAGGGACATTTTTGTTTAATTGCTATTTTGATTGTTCTTTTAAGAGTGTTCTCGAGGAAGGAAAACAGAGGGAAAGACCAGCAAAGCTCACTGTGTCTAACTTTTGCCATATGCATGGACCTAATTTCTCACTTGCCAAGCAATACAGGCTTTATTTTTGAGACTCCTTGAGGGTGGCTGAGTTCTGCATGCTTGCTGGGGTTGGAAAAATCTGGTGTGATGGGGGTCAGTGGCTCCATGACATGCCAAGGCAGAGTAAGCCACAGAGCTCAGTCTGCCATAGGTGTGGCCTCTTTCCTTCCTCACATCTGTGTCAACACCTGGCAGGAGGTGCCTGATTCCAGTGGGGAATGAAGCAGCCTCTGCCCATCCCTCCCACCCATCAAGAGCCTTGGACACACATGAGGTAGAACCGCCAGATGGTGGCTGCCAGGGGAGTGTGTCCACCTCTTACTTGGGCCAGGCGTGTGGCAGCTCACTGCGGCAGGCGTCCCGTGGGCGAGGTCGGTGCTCTGCTGGTGTCTTTGATATTTTTCTTTATCTGACCTAGTCTGAAACCAGTACTTTCCCCTGCCTGTGACCCCTGACTTCATTTGCAAAGTTTTGTCATGCACTTTCTGAAATTTTCATGACAGAGAGCGTTGGAGAAATTTGGGGCAGTGATAGAGATGAAAGAAGGTTTTTAGCTGGGAATCTTTATGCATTTTCTCTGTTTTCTCCTTCTCTTTATTTTTTTTCTTGACCTATGCTTCACACTGGTCTCTGTCTTCTCCATGCTCAGAAAACAGAGGAGGCTTGAGCTTCCAGCAAAGACCTTGCTACATATTACTGGAGACAGGCCGGTGCACGGCAGGGGTGGGTGGGGAGGGCCAACAGGAGAGTGTCCCTCCCCTGAGCATCACTGGCTCTGTTCTCGGCCAGTTACTCTTTGTCTCCACATTTTAGGTTCTCTTCCTGCATTCAAGCATGGGCAAGGCCAGGGCTGCTATTTCAGGACTGCATCCAGCCCTGAAGTTTTCTCTGGGCCTCCACAGGGGACCTTCCTGCTCTGAATTCCACATGCATCCTCCAGGCCACGCCGCAGGCCACACTGCACACTCACCCTACTCTCCAGCCGTTTCCAACTACTTAGAATTCAGTTTTGAGAGTCACCAGTCTTATGTAGTCTGGAGCCTGGCACATAGTAGGTGCTTTGTGCATGTTTACTGAGCGAATGAACAGAAAATGAAATGCACTTTGCCTAAAAGCTGATCTGATCTGATCTGAGTGCCCAGGCACCCTTCTTCCGAAGCTCTCCTTTTGTTCCTGTGGCCCAGGGAATGCTCAGTTCCAGGCTTGGCAGAGGTGAGGTCTCTCTAGGCGGCGTGAAACAGACTGTGAAGCCCCTATGAGAAATAGCCCGCCCGCTGGGCGGGCCCCTCAGCTCCCAGGAGACTCCAGCCGGAGCACTCCAGTGTGGGGCCTAGGACTCCTCTTTTCCAAGGGAGAGTAGACAGCAGGGGGAATTCACCTCCGAATTATTTCCTGGAGCAGTTACGAAAGTAGCATCTCTGAAATCACAGAGCCTTCAGCTCCACTGGGCTGTGAAAATCCCTTACAGAATTCTGACCCCAACCAAGCAGAAAAGGGCACTGCCCCCTTTAAAACAGTTGACTGCAGAACAAAACAAAATGCTAAAATAAGACTAGTTTGAAAATATTGGAAAGTTAAGAAAAAACTCCCCCAAATTCCAATAATAGCATCATCATAGTACATAGCATATTACATATATAGCATATTATATGGTGTATTATGTATACATTCTATGTATACTATATGTTATATAGTGTACGTACATAGTATAAATTATTTTTCACATACGTATTGCTTTGGTATGTTTTCTTTCATGTTTCTGTTTATTTGGTAGATAGGCTTTTTTCCTGTTTTGTTTTACAACATGTTTATATCTGAGACTAACATTGTATTATAAATGTTTTTTCCCATACTATTGCATAGTCTTTATAGCCACATTTAAAACATGAATCATTTATTTCTAAAAACAGTCAGGTCCATTTTATTTTGGCTTCTGGATCCTGCCCCTCCCCGAGCACTCTCCCACTGCAGAACTGTGTTAGGCTCAGTTCCCCAGAGAGCCCTCAGGTTCTCCACACCGCAGGCCCCATGCAAGCTTCTTGTGAACTCTGGGCAGCCCCTTCTGGGTCCTCAGAGCTCAGTTTAGATGCCACCATTGCCTGTTTGCAACACTGGCACATGTGCAGGTCCCTGTGTTCTGTGCAGCTGAACTCAGGACTGCCTCATCACCACTGTCACTACTGCACCTCGCATAGGACCTGCATGCTGAGTGCTCTCAGCGAATGCTTGTGGAATGAACGGAAGAGGGAATCAATGAACAAATGACCTGGTGGTCGTTTTCTGTGTTTCCTCCTGGGGTTTTTCCTTTGGTGTATGCATTTTGTGTGTGTGTGCATAGAATAGGTAACACCAAATCTATAATCTTTTTGTCCTTTTGCCTCCTCAGCATTTGATCATAAGCATAGTGAGCATCACTGTCCAAGGCTGCACAGTGCTTCGTCTTGCATATGCATCCTGCTTTGTTCACCATGTCTCTGGAGTTACTCATTTACTTGCTTGTTGCTTTCACCACTATAAACCACCACTATAAACCATGATCAGCATTTGATCATAAGCATAGCGAGCATCACTGTCCAAGGCTGCACAGTTCTTCGTCTTGCATATGCATCCTGCTTTGTTCACCATGTCTCTGGAGTTACTCATTTACTTGCTTGTTGCTTTCACCACTATAAACCATGATCAGCATTTGATCATAAGCATAGCGAGCATCACTGTCCAAGGCTGCACAGTGCTTTGCATTGCGTATGCATCCTGCTTTGTTCACCATGTCTCTGGAGTTAGCATTTACTTGCTTGTTGCTTTCACTACTATAAACCATACTTCATTTCCTTCTCCTGTTAGGCAGATCTGACCCCTCAGCCTGCTTCTCCCAGCCATGGTCAGACTGTTGTTAGTCCAGCGCCTGAGGGAAGGTACTTTTGGAGTTCCGGGCCCTTGTGTGACCCCCACTCTTAAGGTGACTCTTGGCACCCACAGGCCAATCAGCTGTATTCTCAGAGAGCTCTGAGAATACAGGCTGGTGGGCTATTCCCTAAGGAAAAACTGGGTGGGTTCTCACTGGGGTTGGAACTAGGGTCAAGGGGAGATAAGGAAATGGGAAGAGGCTCGATGCCCTTGGTGGGGCTTCATAGTTTGATCTTACTTCAGAGTTGGAAAGCAAAGCACACCCTTCAGCCACAGCTAGTGGTTTCCCCACCTGTGCCTGAGCTGTGGACTCGGCAGGGCCAAGTGCCTGGTAGGGAGCACAGGGTAGGAGCAGGAGGTGGAGAAGCTAGAAGGCAGGCTGCAGTCGGCTCGTCGCCCTTCTCACCATGCGGATGTCTCCTCCCTTGGCCCTGTGGGAATATGGAGGGCTCACATTCTCCTCTCTGTGCAGGAGCAGGTCATAGGCCACACTCTTTGGGAGGACAAAGTTGACTTCTTTCTAACAGTTGCTGTCCTGTCATTCATTCACTCATTCATTCAGCAAAGGCTTCCTGAGCTCCTGTCCTGTTGCATGCATGATTAAGTACTGCAGATGTGAAGGTGAATTGACATATTTGTTTCTTAGAGTTTGCCTTCTAGCAGACCACAAACAAGTAAATACAATGTTGCACGTGGTGCATGCAGGCCTTTGGTGCCCAGGACAGTGGTGGCATGGAGGAGGGAGTGTTGTCTGTGTCTGAGAGCACTGGGGAAGCCTCAAGGGGAGGCTGTGCCTGAGGTGCATTTTGGAATGAGTTCACAGGTATGGTGGGAATAAAGCCGTCCACATGTACTTGGGAGTTGGGGGAAGAATGGGGACACATGACTCTCACAAGAAGCATGGCTCTGAGCAAATCGGAGACCATACAGAAGCTGACAGGGAATGTGATGTGGACAAAGGGGCCACCAGGCCGGAAGGCAGGTCTGGTAACCCGAGGAGCAATGGGTTAACATTAGGGTCAGGACAGAGAGGGCTGCGTGAGGAGCAAAGACCATGAAGTCCATGATCCTCCAACACATCGGCCCTAATGCTGCAGGCTCCCTGTGCCCTCAACACTCAGCCAGGGCCAGAGGGAGCTTGAGCATGGAGCAGGGGCTGAGGGCACGTGGCTTCCTCATGATGGAGTCTACTTGTTGACAGATGACCCAGAAACTTCCGGAGGACCCCCAAGGCCCTAACACAGTCCCCAGAGCAGGCTCTTTCCATTCACCTCCAGACTGTCCATTTCATGCTGGTTAATCCCCAGGAACCCCTTCTGACAGGGGAATCCTGCATTTCTCTCTACTGAGCTGTAGGGGCTGCTGCCCTTGGGCATTTTCAGCAGAGACCCCTGTCCCCACTCTGCCTCAGGGAGGTGGGCCCTGGAGGACGGTGCCATCCATGCTCCTTGTCTCCTCAGACGTGGTGTGGTCAGCACACCCATCCCACAGACCGCGGAGGAGGCCTGAGCGTCAGGGTCCTGTCTGATGCCAGCTCATAATGCACTGTGCCTGAGTGATGGATGCCCATCTCACTGCCTGTCACTTCCTCTCTCTGCAGGGCCCTGTGGCCGAGTGTGTCCAGCCCAGTGTCACAGGGAGCTTCCACATCTCATGGCTCCTTGCTGGGCCAAGCCCTCCAGAACCCCAAACCCACAAAGACTGATGGCTGCCAGAGTGGCCACCTTGCTTATCCTGTGGCCCCGGCCCTGGTGATCACCATGGCAGCTGGGAAGGGAGTCCCGTTGAGCCCATCGGCTAAAAACAGATGGCGACTTAGCGAACCTGAGCTGGGCCGGGGCCTTAAGCCAGTGCTGCTGGAGAAGACAAACCGCCTGGGCCCTGAGGCTGCTGTGGGCAGGGCGGGCCGGGATGTGGGCAGTGTGGAGCTGGCACTGTTGGCAGCCCCAGGCAAGCCTCTACCTGGCAAGCCACTGCCCCTGAAGGCGCGTGGGGAGCAGAGTCAGAGCGCCTTCACGGAGCTGCCGAGGATGAAGGACTGGCAGGTGGATCCTCAGGCCCAGGAGAGGGAGCACGATGACCCCACAGGCCAGCCTGGCGTCCTGCAGCTGACCCAGGACGTCCCCAGAGGCCCAGCCGGCAGCAAAGTCTTCTCTGTGTGGCCCAGCAGAGCACGAGGTGAGCAGAGAAGCGCCTTTAGCAAACCAACCAAGCGACCAGCAGAGAGGCCTGGGCCAACCTCAGTCTTCCCTGCAGGGGAATGTGCAGACACCCTGGGGGAGCTGTCTGGACTCCTCAACACCGCAGACCTCGCTTGTTGGGGTCGACTTTCAACTCCCAAGCTTTTGGTTGGTGATTTCTGGAACTTGCAACCATTGCCACAGAATGCTCCACTCTGCAGCACTTTCCTGGGTGCCCCCACACTGTGGCTGGAGCACACGCAGGCCCAGGTGCCCCCACCCTCGTCATCCTCCACCACTTCCTGGGCCCTCCTGCCACCCACCCTCACCTCCCTGGGCTTGTCCACCCAGAACTGGTGTGCAAAGTGCAACCTGTCCTTCCGCCTGACGTCCGACCTGGTCTTCCACATGCGGTCCCACCACAAAAAGGAGCATGCAGGGCCTGATACACATTCTCAGAAGCAGAGAGAAGAGGCCCTCGCCTGCCCTGTGTGCCAGGAGCACTTCCGGGAGCGCCACCACCTCTCCCGGCACATGACTTCTCACAGCTAGCAGGTGGCCGCAGAGTGACCTGCTGGGTGCGGCAGCCAGCCTTTGGCAGAAGGGGGCTCCCTGGGCCTGCCTGGAGGGGGATGTCATGGTCCTTTGCAGAGCTGCCACCTTTGACATTCATAGATAAACAGCTCAGGCATAATTTGAAAAAGCCACACCTGCATGATGTGTTTTGAGGGAAATGAAGTCCTGAAATAAAGTGATGGGCTTTGCAAATCCAGGGTAAAGGCCCTAACAGGCACAGAGAGCGGGGGCGACTCCTGGCACACATCATGGGCTTTGGAGGCACCCAAGCCTGGATTCGAATCTGGGCTCTTTCACATACCAGCTGTGACCCCGGACAAAGAGCTTTAACCTGCTAAGTCCCCATTTTCTCGTCTGTGAAGTGGAGATGATAACACTGTGTGTTAGGCTGGCATTCAGGTCACATGAAAGGCATGTGGAAAGTGGCCAGCATTCTGCCTGCAGACCCTGAGCACTGAGTCAACGAGGCTTGTGATGATGTCTGTACTAGTCAGCTATTATCATTAACAAGATCTCCATGGCATACAAGCTAAAGCATCTGTCTCAGTCATGAGTCTGTGGGTTGGCTCAGGTTAAGCTGAGCTTGGCTGGGCTTGGCAGCAAGTCTCAGATTTGATCAAGTCATGTTTGTTTTCGTCTTCGGCTGGTGGGCTACCCAGAGCCGGCATGCTTCTTTCGCGGTTATGCCAAGAACACAAGAGGGTGAGTCTAACAAGCACACTTGAAGCCTCTGCTTGGATTGCATTGCCAACGTCCTCTCAGCCCATACAAGTGGCAGAACCAGGCCCAATACTGAGGAGTGGAAAAGTGTAGGCTGCCCTTGATGAAGCTGTGACACGGGAGTGAGCATCCATCCCCTCCACAGGAGGGTGAAGAATTGGGATAGGTAATTCCAGCCAACACCTGGTCCATAGTTCTTTACATTGTGAGTATATGAGTAGAGGGAAATAGAACCCCCTCCCCACCACCTACACACATGCCCTTTTACCTTCCAAGAATAGGACATGTGCAAAAACTAGGCTTCCAGATTGTGAAGCTGGGGAGCATTCTAGGTACCATTTATTATCTGCTGCATTTCGGTCAGTAGCTATTGTAGGTACCCACATCGGCCCTTGTTCCTAAGGATGTGTGGAGCCCAGGCTGTACTCTTTGACATTGCACAGGTCAGTCTGCGTGAAAGCCCTTTGTGGGGAGTTTCCAAGCCAGTGTCGTTTTTGCACTGGTTTCCACCTCACTGTCAGATACTGTTCTTTGGATGTGCAGTTTCCAGCCCCCCAGCACAGAGCTCAGGCTTGTGGCTGGGAATAAGCCAGGGTGAGCAGGTGGGGATCTCAGCCAGCCTCCCAGACTGCACCTCTTCTCTTGCTCTCCTCTGTCCACCCTTCCAGGCAGCAGCCCTCCCACCTGGCTGCTCTGATGTCCTCGCTGCCTCCATTCCTGCCTCTCACCATGCACCCATCCATTGCCCACACGCACACAACCAGATCATCTTCTGAACGTGTAACTCAGATGATGCCTCCAACCCTGTGGCTGCCCTTCACACTTACAGGCCTAAGGACCCAGCAGGCCCCAGCAGGAACTGCCAGCTGCTTCACAAACAAGTCCTTGCCTGTTGTTAATTGCAAACACTCATTTCACGTCCCTGTGTGCCACGCAATAGCATAAGCACTGGAAGAATACAGATGTTATAGTGAATCCTATCATAGCCCTGGAAGGCAAGAGCTGTTTCCTTTCCATTTCTACAATGAGTCAATTGCAGATGATGCTATAACACTTCCAGTGTTTCTGACACTCCCCTGAAGCTATGCCTGCTACCTTCATGGGCTGAGCTTGCCCTTATGAGGTCCACAGGTGGCAGTGGGCAGAGGGCACCCCGCGATACCACCTCGCTGCTGTTCTGCCGTCTGCTCCCGTGTTCTGACCGCAGCTCTCATGCCGTTTCTCAAGCCCTGGGCTTCATTCAGCATTTTCTCTCTAGCTCTTCGTGGTGCCGCTCCTGCTGTGGTTCCACAGGGCTGCTTCTCACAGGTCAGCTCCTTAGAGAAGTCTCCCAGATTCCCTGTAAAGCAGCCCTGCAGCCTCTGTCACTCCCAGCCGCATCACCCTGTTGCTTCCTTCACAGCATGTCTCACCATCTGCAACCATCTTTCTGTTTGTTGTCTTGGTGATTTGCTGCGGCCACACTGTCAGCTCCTTAGGGGTAGAGATTGGTTTGTTTACTGTGCATCCCTGGTGCCCAGAACAGGGCATGGCATACTGTTGGTGCATAATAAATATTGTGGAAATAATTTCTGTGTGAGAAGCTGGGTCTGAATATCTGTGCAATCTTCCTTTGGCTGTGGAGGGTCGCAGGAGGCTGCCATGTAGCTGGAAGCCTCCATGTGTACTGAGCTTCCTTCACCTACGCTGTCTCCCTGGCCTGGCAAGGGATTGAGTGAGTGGGTCCATTTCCATTCATTTATTCAGCAACCCTGGGCACTTTGAGCTGAGCCTCAAAGACAAGTATGTGCTGGTGATTTGGTGATGCAGGCAGGGGAGCAGTGGCTGAGGAGAAAGATCAGAGTCTGCAATTGTGTCAGGGTATGAGGAGGAGATGGCGGGGCAGGGTAGGAGGGCCTCACAGGAGAGCAGTTTGGACCAAGGGGACTGAGGACTTGGATCGGAGAGGCACTTTGGGGGTGCTCTCCAGCTGCAGTGGGGAGTGTGGCCTGGAGGAGGGAGCCTGGACCTCCTGAGCTCATTGTCTTCCACATCTAGAAGAGGGAAGGGTGCTCCCTACAGATGCCAATAAAGCATCCGCATTCCCATAGGGACACTGGGACGTCCCTTGCTCACTAAGACAAGACAAGGAAAGTTCAGCCTTGCCGGCCCCTTTAGGTGCTGTGGGGGGGTATCATTTACACACAGACAGGCTGAGCACAGAAGGCAGCTGAAGCTACGGGAGCCTCCCTGTGTGCTGTCTTGGGTGAGGCAGGAAAGGGAAACTCAAGGTCTCGGCATGAGGCCCCACACTATGCACTTGACACACAGCAGCCGGGAGGCAGATTGTTATTAATAATTCCCACCTACTGCAGATGACATTAAACTCCAAGAGGTCAAGGACGTTCCTAAGACCATGGGCTCAGGAGCATCAGTGCAAGAATAAGACTCCAGGACCCCAGATTGAGCTTTTCATGTCCTTTTCAGCCTGCTACCTGTCTGCCCAGTCCAGTGTGGTCATGTGGCATTGTGGATGGTTCAGGAACTGGGACAGCAGCAGGTGTAGGCTCCCTGTCTCAAATTCCAACTCATACTTGCTACTTGTAAACACACACACTTTCCTATCGCCCTTCTCTCCAGCACTTTCACTATCTTGCATACTAACTCTTTCACTGATTTATCTTGCTTACCGTGTCCCCTATCACTAGAATGTAAGCTCTGTGAGGGATATTTGGTGGGTTTTTTTTTACCTGCAGCATTGCTGGCATCTAGATAATGTAGGCACATAGTAGGTGTTCAACAGACATTTGTCGAATGAATGAATGAATGAGATGCCTGGTTCTGGCCTGGCACTTGCCACATCTCAAATCAGCTTCTCGGGAGGGTTTTAGGATCTATCAAACACTGTGCACAATTGTCCTTCTCTGGCTTAATTGATTGGTTTGTAATTTCTGTGAAATCTCTTTGAAAGGCAGAAATATGCCAAGACATGCAGACACTTAGAACTGAAGGGACTTTAGATTTCTAGACCACCCCCTCCCTGTACAACATTGGACTCTGAGGTCCACAGACATGAGCTGATGTGCTCAGTGTTGCAGGGCAAGTGGTGGTGAGGCCAAGGTTAGAACCACTGAGAGGTCTGGACCTTGCCCCATCCACAATCTATGAGGAACCTCAGCTATACCAAGCGACGGTTTACATTGCACGTGAATAGAACGGCCTCACATGCAATTATTACTAACCTCGACCAGTTATACCGTTCCCAAGCAGGATAGGCATTTAGGAAAACTTGAAGCTATAGAAAACAGCACACTATCTTCCCCCAACTCTGATTTTTAACTTGGAGTTAATTTTGGTAAAAATGGATGTAGATCCAAATTGCTCACAGCCATTTAAATGGACAAACTCAAAAGTGATTTGTGGAAGCGATGGGTTTACAGCTTGTTAATATTGTGGTCCCTAATTATCACCAGGCTGGGTTCCCAGAGTCTGGGAGTCAAATTCTCTCTTAGCCCTTCTTCATTTCTGCCCTCCTGTATCTACTGGAGAGTAGACATGGTAAATCATGGTTTTGCTCAAGCTCTCTCTACCACTTCTATGGTCTGAATGTTTGTGTCTCCCAAAATTTATTTAAAGTCCTAACCCCCGAGGTAATGGTATTAGGAGGTGGGGCTTTTGGGAGGTTGGAATTAGTGCCCTTACAAAAGAGGCTGGGTGCAGTGGCTCACACCTGTAATCCCAGCACTTTGGGAGGCCGAAGCGGGCAGATTATGAGGTCAGGAGTTCGAGACCAGGCTGGCCAATATGGTGAAACTCCGTCTGTACTAAAAATACACACACACACACACACACACACAAAATTAGCTGGGTGTGGTGGTGGGCACCTGTAATCCTAGCTACTTGGGAGCCTAAGGCAGAAGAATTGCTTGAACCCGGGAAGTGGAGGTTGCAGTGAGCCAAGATTGCACCGCTGCACTCCAGCCTGGGTGACAGAGGAAGACTCCATCTTGGAAAAAAAGAAAAAAGAAAGAAAGAAACCCCAGTGGCTGAGCACAGTGGCTCATGCCTGTAATCCTAGCACTTTGGGGGCTGAGATGGGAAGATTGCTCAAGGACAGGAGTTTGTGACCAGCCTGGGCAACATAGTGAGACACCCCTCTCTACAAAAAATACAAGAGTTAGCTGAATAAGGTGGTGTGTGTGCCTATAGTCCCAGCTACTCATAGAAGGCTGAGATGGGTGGGGTGGGTGGGGGAGTTACTTGAACTCAGAAGTTTAAGGCTGCAGTGAGCTATGATTGTGCCACTGCATTCCAGCCTGGGCAACATAGTGAGACCCTATTTCTAAAAAATAAAAATAAACCGCAGAGACCTAGTTCCCTGCTTCCACCTTGTGAGAATGCAGCTTAAAGTTGCCATCTCCCAACTAGGAAGATGGTACCAACCGCCAAAGCTGCTGGCACCTTGATCTGGGACTTCCGAGCCTCTAGAACTGTGAGCAATAAATTTCTGTTGTTAATAAGTCACCCGGTTTATGGTGTTTTGTTATAGCGGCCCAAATGGACTAGGCAGTCACCTTCTATATGCCAGTTAAGAGTTGGCATGAAATGTTGCCACAATATATCACATCAGCAGATATTAATTTTACAATCATGGGTAAGAATTACTGCATTCCTTAAATTCTCTACGTCTAATTGAATCAGCTCAGCACCCCATCCTGTGGTCCTGGTGAGATACTCACCCTGCCACTGTTGAATTCCTAACCTGCCTCTCAAGCTCACAAAAGCTCCTCAATGCTCCACCTCAAGATCGTACCCTGTCCCTTGGTGCCCCAGGGTGTCCCCTTGCTGTTCTGGCCAGCTTTGCCTCTCTCCTCCACTCTCCTAGGATCTAGGGCCTTGGTGGCTTTCTGGCAAAGCTGTTGGTAGGCATGTGACCCAAAGACACTGAGTGGATGAGCAGAAAGTCTTGGCTGACCTCGCGGAACAGAGGAGGTTTTATCTACAGTAGCTGGAAACATGGCAAATTCTATCATAATAAATTATCTCCCAGTGGCAGCCATTCAATTCAGATTTACAAAAGTCCTCAAAATATGCTAATGAGGCTAAACTAAGACATTCTGAATTCAGATTCAGTTTGGTTCTCAATTTTAACAAAGGTCAGCTTTTCTTTCTGTTGTTACCTGGGAGAGAAGTAAAACCACTACAAAGTTGGGTTCCTAGAATTCAACTTCTTGCCAATTCCTGCATCTCTAGGCCAGGGATCCTAAGCTCAAAAGTCTATTGAAGTAGGCTAATGAGTGGATGGAGCTGCCTGTAAGTGGCAATGGTGGGGAGCTCAATGCCTGGGTGAAGACTGCACAGCCAGGCTGGATGCAGGCCTCAAGAAAGGCCAGAGTTCAGGTCTTTGTATGAAATTCGTTGTCAACTGACTCAAGAGTTTTGCAAGCACTGATGGATAACCAAAGTGGCATGGATTCATGGAAGCATGTCAGTGGTGGTGATGGTTCAGGGTTGCCACCAGCCAGTGACCCCTTAACTCTGTTATGCTCCCAGCTTTGGAACAGGCCGGTGCTGGGCCTAGCGCTTCTAACCTCAGCCGTACCACCCTGTTCCTGTGAGCACGGAGACAGAGCCCTTATCAGGGGTGAAAGTCGGCCACAGTAGCCCCCAGACCAGCCTTGCACTCCTCATACTCCTGGAAAGTGATGGCGCCATCTGGAGGCAGCAGGCCTTCCTACAGGCCTCTTCCCTTGAAAGAGGGAATCACGCACCCTTGTCATTTGCCTAATTTTGTTGTGTTTTTAGAAGTCATGTGGTAGGTCTACAGATGGCATAGCAAGATCAGAACCTCATAGAATAAACCTTTTATTTGAAAAATAAGCCGTTCTCCAACATGTGTTGCGTTGTGATACTTCCTAGGAGAGAAGGTTCAGAAACCGTCTTGTTTGTTTGTTTTGTTCTGTTTTTGGAGACGGAGCCTTGCTCTGTTGCCCAGGCCAGAGTGCTCGATCTTAAATCACTGCAACCTCAGCCTCCCAGGTTCAAGTGATTCTCTCACCTCAGCCTTCTGAGTAGCTGGAATTACAGGCACCCGCCATCACGCCCAGCTAATTTTTGTATTTTTGTAGAGACAGGATTTCACCATGTTGGCCAGGCTGGTCTTGAACTCCTGACCTCAGGTAATCTGCCCGCCTCGGCCTCCCAACGTACTGGGATTACAGGCCTGAGCCACCGTGCCCGGTTATGAAAGGGGTTAGGGGAGGCAGTGCCTGCAGGGAGATTGGGAGGGGTTCTCTGACGTTTTCTTTCCATTCATCTTGCCATCTCGTGTTTTCCTGGGGCAAGACGGAGGAAGCCACTGTCGTCTGATCCCATTGCTATTCTAAACTGCTTGGATTAGGAGGCTATTTTTAGTGCTGGCCACCCTGGTCAGCAAAGCAGAGAGGGGACTTAGGCCAGGTGGCAGCTAAATCCCATAGGAACCAGGAGATGGGAGGTGGGTGCCCCCAGGCGGGGATCTTGGAGGTGGGTTTCCTGGCCCGGAGTGTGAACCGGCTGTGTTGCTTTTCTTTCTGAGTCACATCGTTTCACCACACCACAGCTGTGTGGGTAACCAGGGCCCTCTGGCACACAGTCAGGGCCATCTACTGTGTGGGCCTGTGCGGGGCAGACATGGACACAGGAAGAGGAAGCTCCTCCCTTATTGCTTCAGTCCAGCCTGAAAGCAGCAGGCCCACAAGGGTCCCCACATGGCCCCTTTGCATTCGCTATGGATGAAGCATATCACTGCAGTAGTCCCTGGTTCCTCCTTCCCTGGATGGGGGTCACCACGTCTCCAGCAAGGACTTGGAAGTGAAGGTCACCTTTTCCTTCCTCTCCTTACAGAGCCTGGCAGAGGCATGGCTTGTTGCTGACCAAGAGCACCTGGAAATGAGCCCCCAGCACCCAAAGTCACCACCCCCACCATGCCCCCCAGCTCTGTGCTGTCAGTCCCTGGTCAGACTGCAAAGATGCCCATGAGTGGACTGTGCCCATGCCCTGCCCCTGCTGCTAACATCTGGTCCCCCAAGTCTTCTCTGGCACCGGGGACCAGGTCTGAGACAGCTCTGTTTCCACCACTTGCCCTGTGGCTAGCCTGGCATCCTCAGGATCTGCCCTGGAGGAGAAAGAAAGGCAGGGAGAGATGGACCCAGTATACCCTGAGTTCCTTTCTCTACCCAATGGCTCTGGCTTGGTTGCCCAGAGTGTGGCCTGGCCTTTGATGGTAAACAATAGGGAAACTCCTCGGCCTGTCTTGCCCCAGAGAGCCAGCTTTGAGTCCTTGCCAGGGCCTTTATAATCCATTTATTGTACATGCTGTCACAACAGGGCTGAGCTGACTCCGAGGGGCACTCCAGCACCCCTGGATGCCAGTCAAATGAACCCCTGCTTGGCCCTGGCTGACTTACCTCTCCATCACATCTGCAAGAAGGACAGATAAATATGACCTTCCAGAAGTGTCTGCATCACCTAACAATGCCCTTCCAGTGAAGATGAACCCCTAGCTGCAGGTCAGGCCACAGAGATGGGGCAGGAAGCTGTGTCAGGGATTTAGGCACAAAACTGGGACCCCAAGACAAGGCAAAGAAGATGGCAGGCTGGGTGCAGAGCAGAGTGACATTAACTCAGGTATTAACTTACCTTGGGTCCTGATCACTGGTGGACACTGGGTGAGAGGTGTGGGGGACAGAGAGGAGGGAATCCGAGTGTCTGGAAGGAGGTGTGGCTATGTGCAAGATGTGAGCTGGAGGTAAGTAGGATTTGGCAGGGTGCAGGCCGTGAGCTCAGACCAGGGCATAGAGAGTTGAAGGGGCCCAGGGCTCATCTGAACAGAGACTTCTAAGCAGTTCTTGGCCATCTGGGTGTCCCACCAGAAAAGAGACCTGATGGGATTTTGTTTTCCTTTTCCTTTTCCTCCAGTCTTGTGCCTGCAAGCAGGTAGCAATGCAAGAAGGCTTGCATTTAGGAAGGCTGAACCTGTACTTTGCTATGCAGAGGACTTTCGCTCCTGTCTATCTCAAACCCCCTTTCCAGATCAGGCCCAGGGCCTCTTCGTGATGTGGTGGAAACAGAAGGATCTTTGGAACTGTACAGAGATGGGTTCAAATCCCACCTACCCTTTAACCCGCTGCACCAGACTGTGCTGTTTATTACAGAAAAGTCTTTGGTGGATGGAAGCAGACAGGGATTTCATGAAAGACCCCGGATGGTGCCTAGTCCTAGATGGGTGGGCTGGGGGACCTGGCTGAGCAATGGGTAGGGACAATGGGTCACTCCACCAGGACCACAGCCAAAGTCACACCGGGAAGTCTGGGAAGCACCTCTTGAGGGTGCTGCTGCTGTCCCTGCTAAGCATAGGGCATGGCTGTGCTGTCCTTATACACTAGGCTTCTGGCAGATGGCCACTGCCCAGGCTCCCTGGCCACTTGCTCCAGATTAAACGTCTTGCACAGGAGCTTCTGGTTGACCAAGGCAGGACCACATGCCCATGCCCTACTGCCAGGAGGGCTGGAACAGTGGGCTTCCAGGGTGTTCAGCTTTGTAGTGGAGAAAATATGACAGCTAACATTGGCTGGGCACTAGATTGACTCACTTCATTCTCACAACTCCAAGTGTATTATTATTCCTCCCATTGAACAGATGAAGAAACTGAGGCCCAGAGAAGTGAAACAAATTGCCCAGAACCACTCAGCTGGGGAAGTGGCCGGGCTGGTTTCCCACCCAGGCGGGGCTGACATCACTGTTTCCTACCAGTTCCTATGGGCAGTGATTCTCTGATCACCCAAAGGTGCTGCAAATGCTGGGTGGCCCAAAGGAGGACACAGGTCCACCGTGCTGGCTGTGTGACCTTGGGTGAGCTGCGGAGTTTGTCTGTGTCTCAGCTGGCTCCTGGGTAGAAAATGAGAGTGGCCAGCTATGCAGCCGGCATGAGGCTCAGAAGAGACACAGCCAGCATGTGTACATCACCAGCAGAAGGGCTGCACCAGCCCTTTCCCTATTTAAGATCCACAGGACCTTTGCCACCTGCTGACCCCATAGCATCTTGTGCCACATCTTAAACAAAGTCAGCTGTCCATAGAGGCCAGCAGGGCAGATCCGGAAGATCCAAATAATATGAATGAAAAACCCATGAAAAAAGAGATTTAACAACCACTGGTGATCACTAAATTGTGGTTAATGGCTCAGTTATATAATTTATTTTATCTTCTTTATTTTTTATATTTTGGAATAATGACAGTTGCATCTGAAAATAATGATATATGCACATTAATGAGTATTTAAGAAAAAGAGCAAAGTATGAAGAAGAAAGGTAAAAATACCACCCCAAGTTCTACCACCTAGAAGGAACTTTTTAAAAATTCAGGTTGTTATTGGAAAGCCATATATATATGTATACATATACATACACATATATATGTGTATATACGTGTGTGTGTGTGTGTGTGTATGTATACATACCTCCAGCTCTAGCCTAACCAGAGCTCAGCAGGCCCCTCTGCTGCCCCTGGGAACCTCAGGCCGGGCCACCTGCAGGAGTGCCCTTGGTGTGTATCCCAGAGGTTCTGTTTGTCCTGGGGCTCTGCCTACGGGGCCCTTCCCTACGGGTGGTCCTGCAGGCCTGGGCTCCGCTTCACCCTCAGTTGGTTGTGCTGGAGCATCTCCTTGGCCCTGGTGAGAGCCTCTTCTGCAGGGACAACCATATGGGGTGTCACCCCCACCCCTTCCCAGGAGCTGCCATCCGAGGCCCCCACAGAACGGGCCGTGGGGATAGTGAGGTAGAGGTTGGTGTCATCCACGTGGTAGGTCTGTGGTGGCTGGCAACCCCCGCTGGTCACCTCCCCGATGACCAGGGCCCGGCCCAGCCTCTTCATGATGTAGGTGAACTCCTCCGCAGTGCCGGCCGTCACACTGCTGGTCAGAATGACCATGCTCTTCTTGGAGCCATAGCGTTCACCTGGAAGACATAAGGCCCTTCAGGATAGGGGTCATGTCAGGACCCTGGAGCACCTGTCTTCTCTATCCTGCCTGGGCCTGCAGTGATGGAGGAGGCCCTGGGGTTTCGGTCTGTGTCCTTGTGTCCACTTGTGAGCCACTTGACTTCTCTGAGCCTTGATTTCTGCATCCGTAAAATGGGGACAAGAATGCATGCCTAATCATGAGGATTTCAGTGCTTGACAACTCCCAATGAGGCGTTTTTATGCCAAGTGATAGGAAAGACTTGACTCTCCTGAGAAAGGGACGTCCTCTCTCTTCATGAATAATGAAAACACTTAAACTGACCTGACTTCCTTTTCACTTTGGACTCAGAAAAACCCAATTTGTGATGTCATAAGAACAACCCTCTAGGACAGCACTGTCCAACAGGAATGCAACGTGAGCCAGAATGCTGCCCATAGATGTCATTTTAGGTTCCCTAGTAGCCATGTTGAGCAAGCAAAAAGAAATCCCCGGTGTTAATTTTAATCATGTTTTGTTTAAGCCAATGTATCCAAAATACATCCATTTCAAAATGTAATCAAATAAAATTATTAATGAGGTTTTTTTCCGTAATGTCTTCAAAATCTGGTATGCACGTTACACCTCCAGCACATCTCCACTTGGGAGAGCCACATTTCAAATGCTTGGTGGCCACAGGTGGCTTGTGGCTCCCATATTGGACCTCACAGTTCTGGGACCTCACTATCTGTAGAATTGAGTCTATCTTTAACTTCCAGTCTTGAACATCTATTTGAATTTAGAATTCACCTGGTTCTGATTTGTATTTACACTTCGTAATATTATTGAATGTATGTCCTAGAAGCTACAGCAAAATGCCTGTGTATTACAGAAGCATGGACATGAAAATGATGGCGTGTTTCTCTGGTCACAGGCACACCCCCATTGATCTCTCCAGTCCTTTCTCGTTGGATAGGAGCACAAGTTCCTTGGTCTTACACACTGGGCAGGGAAGATAGATGGAGACCGTCCACCCTGGAATGGGGCTTTGAGAGTCATGGTTCTGTAAAGCTAGCTCAGGGCCTGCCTTTGCTCCTGTAGCCACAGCTCTGTGTCCAGGGCAGTGAACAGAAGCCTGATGAGCATCATGACCTTTCCAGGCAAGTGTGTGGCACTGCAGCTGAGAGCTCAAGTATGGTGAGCACTGGAAATGCCCATTGGGGTTGGTAAGGGGCGGGGAGAATCCTTCAAATTCTGCATTTGTCCTGCAGGCTGGTGATAATAGTGCTAAGCCTGGGGGAAATTTTGGTATTAGACAAACTAATATTCACATTTTGGGTTCCACTTATTAGCTGCATGACCCTAGAAAAGATACTTGACCTAGTCAATCCCCACTTTTTTTTCCTCTAGAAAACGGGCGTAGTGATACATGCTTTTCAGGGATTCGAGATCATGCACATCTAGTGCCTGGACTAGGACAGGGCTTTACAGTCTTGTTACTAGGACTTTTACCTACACTCAAGCTGTCTTTCCCTGGTTTCCCAGAAGCTTCTAGAATGACAGTAGAAAGGGGAAAGCTTCTCCACGTACCTACAACCTGGGCGTGTGTCCAGAGTTCACTGATGGAGTCATCAGGCCGGCTGTAGATCTTATCCAGCAGAATTGGAGGGCCTTCATCAAAGAAGTAGGAGCACAAGATGGGAATGGAGGATGTGGGGCCACCGATGTTGAACCTGAGGGATGGGAAGCAGAGCCTGTTCAGGGGCTGAGCTCACAGTGAGGCCCTCTGTGCCCCTCGGGGAGGCCAGGATCTTTGTCCCATGGACGGTTCTAATTCTTGGCAGCCTCAATGTACTGCCTCTTCCTCCTTTAGAATACCATGGGTTGGCATTTTCCAGAGTATTTCCAAGAGTACTAGTCTCTTGAGAACAAGAAACTTTGTGGTCAAATATGTTATCCTTTCCTTCTGCTATATAATTAACACATGTTAATATATTAAAGGACCAGTCGGGTGCAGTGGCTCACGCCTGTAATCCCAGCACTTTGGGAGGCTGAGGTGGGTGGATCACAAGGTCAGGAGATCGAGACCATCCTGGCTAACACAGTGAAATCCCATCTCTACTAAAAATACAAAAAATTAGCCGGGCGTGGTGGCAGGCACCTGTAGTCCCAGCTACTTGGGAGGCTGAGGCAGGAGAATGGCGTGAACCTGGGAGGCGGAGCTTCCAGTAAACTGAGATCGCTCCACTGCACTCCAGCCTGGGCGACAGAGTGAGACCCCATCTCAAAAAAATATATATATGTGTGTGTGTGTGTGTGTGTGTATGTATAAAAGGCTCTGACAAGTCCTGCAGTCAGAAACTTGTTGATCAGTTTCCCCCATTTATTGACCATGGACTGCTCCCCTGCACCCATATCTGCCTATGAGTGGAACACATTTTGGGAAACATTGTTTTTCCCGGTTGCATTCTGTGACAATCTTATGACACCTACCGGCTGTCTTAGTTCAGGTGTCTTAACAGGGCACTTAGTGTGTTGAAATATTCAGGCCTGTGAAGCCACATTGGAAGAAAGGGAGCCTGCATTTCTCCCAGGCCATTTAGATTTGTCCCACTGTGTGACCTCATTGGGGCCCTGTCTCCCCACTGGGGCTAGTGACATGTTAAGCAGCCTCATCCAGTTGATGGCCTGGGATGACCGGGCTGGGTTCTGGGCCTGTGATGTCAGTGTCTGAACCTCCAAACAAACCTCAGGGGTGGAAGGGTCTTTAAGCAAAGTGCACTTGCAGGCTGGGGCCATCTCCTCTTTAAAAAGTGTAAATGGCATATTCAGAAGAAAGGGACTTAACATGAGTGTCATTCGGGTGCTCAACAGAACTTCTAAAGAAAAAAATGATCAGAGAGACCACAGGAGCCTCAAGCTCGGGCTGTGAACGCACACAGAACTGGAGCCAGGGCTAATGTTTTAGCCTTAATGTTCTTTCTTCTCCCAGGGAGGAGAAGCAGTGGGTGCAGGACTGAGAGCCACCTAGTGACCACTAAGAACCATGTGAGTGAGCACTGAGGGCTAGAGAACTGGAGCTGGGTGAATGCTCCTGCTCTGCCACACCCTGCCACTTCTTTTAGACAACAGGGGAGCGTGGAAGGGTCCCGTCTGAGGAAGGCAGCCTGCCCATGGAGGGTGCCAGGGCATGTCCACCAATGGACCCCAGAGTCACGGGATGCCAGGTCTGGCCACTGCCTGAGGGTGCTCATCCACCTCCTACTCCTAGTCCATGATGTAAACTCACGACATATGAGGCACAGTTTTACAGAAACAGAGGGGAGGTGGCTAGCTGAAGACATCCTTCTGACAATCATTTGGTGATGCAAAGAATTCTTTTGATAACAATAGTGATTAATTTCTAAATTCTCCCTGTGCGATTTCCAAATTCTGCCTGTATGACGATTCATGTGACCAGGGTTGTCATGAGTTGATTTTGTATGACGTGAGGCACCTTCCCAGGTGGGAGGCCTGGCTGTCTCACATGCCACTGGCCATCAGAATCACCTGGGATGCCTGTCAAATAGAGATTATCGGGCCTGTCCGCCGGAGCTTCTGAGTCAGTAAGGGAGGAGTGGGGCCCAGGAATCAGTGTTTTTAACGTCTCCTTCCTCTCCTCCCCACTGAATCCTATGACCAGGCAAATTTGGGGTAATTCTCAATCTGGAATGCACATTGGAATCATTGGAGAAGTTTACAAAAACGACCAGTGCCGGGCCCCGCCTGCAATGAAACAAGAATCCCTGGGCCAACTGGCTGGAGCCCTGATAGGCAGGAGGCCTGGCCCCCTCAAGTCCTCTGCTGTGTTGCAGGGTTCCTTTTCTTCCCTGCTGTGGCCCATAGCTTTGACTGTCCCCCGGCAGTCCTGCGTCCTGGCTGGGAAGCACCGACCCCTGGCCACTGACCTCATGTCGATGATCATGGCATCCGTGTGCATGATCTTCTTCCAGATGTGCTCCACCAGCAGCTTGGAGACCTGGGTGAGCAGCTCACCGTCCCCAAACATGTCAAACCTCAAGTAGCCAATGTTGTCCTCAAACACATTAGTGTGGAAGGAAAACTTGATCAGCTCTTCAAAGACTTCAGGGGAAGGGATCTGTAAGAGTTGGAGGTCCTACTCAGTGTCAGGAGGAGCAGCCGGTTTTAGAGTCCAGGAAAGCAGGCACCACAGATCGCCTTTATGTCATGGGAAATATTAAGGGCATGGGACAGGAACTGACATTTCTGAAGGAGTTAGTAGATACCAGGGACTTTCCCAGTGGCATGTCTGAGATGTGAGAAGGCTAGAAGGCCCAGGAATGGTCTCCCCTCTGACCTCTCCAACCTCACCAGATACTTCCTAACGCCTCCAAGCTCACCTTCCCCTCCACTGGGGCAGGATTGGAAGATGTTAGTTACCTGTACCAGGCGCCTGGACCTGTACTGAGTACTTTGTAGAGCTTATCATCATCCTCACAGCCACCTGTGCAGGAGATAACATGACCCCCATCTTTTCCATGGAAAAACTGAAGCACAGAGAGATTAAGTAACTAGTCTCAGGTCACACAGTCAGTAAGTGGTGGAGCCAGAATCTGAATCTACATCTGACCTCAAATCGTGAACCTTGGCTATATTGGAAAGGATGGGGCAGTTGATTTGGAAACCGGGGATCCTGCAAGCCTAGCACAGGCTACTCCCACGTGGATGCACCTCCTCCTCCCTCTCTAAGGCTGCTGGAGGGAGGCAGGACTTGGTGAGCTTGACTGGGACCAGGAGCCTTTGTTGACAGAGACACCGCCCTCCAGGCCCTGCCCTGCCCTCAGTCACAGCTCTCTGGCCCCAGGCCACTCTCCTCTGCTCCTCTCCAGGCCTCAGTTGTGAAAAATGGGGATAATAATTCTGTAGCAGATGCTTTTGGCACTCTCAGCCCCCTCTGCTTTCAGCTGCCCCTGGCCCCACTGACAGGCTCTCCTATAGCACAGCCTTGTCTTTTCACCCTCAGCTCAGGCCTTCTCCAAGAAGGGGGAGCCTGCCCCACCCTGAGTGATGTCCTCAGGGCAACTCTTGGCCAATGTGGGACAGGAGCCACTGGGCCCCACCTGCAGAGGACTGTGCCTGGGAGCATCCCCACACTCATCAGTGTCCTTGCTTCAGCAGAACAGCTTTGAGGCATCTGCTTGTCAGCTTCCAGTCTCACTCTCCCTACTCCCTCCTTCACACCTGCTTCAGCAATGGCCTCCCAGACAAACTGCCTGCACTCAAGCCCTGGTCTCAGACCCTCCTCACAAGGGATCCCACGACAAATGCTGCCCTGTACAATCGTGATGATGCAGCAAAACCACAGGTAGAACAGCGTGGAGGTGTGAGTGCTGCCTAGGTGGAACTCTCGGCCAGCGGTGGGGCACTTGGTAAAGCCCACGGCCACCTCTGCCAGGTGTTGGCCTCTTCCCCAACACTGACAATGAGAAGCCCTGCCATCACTCACCTTCCACCTAGCCAAGGCTGAAATGCCTTCTATCCCAGGGGCTTCCAAACTGGCTTCCTGTGAGTATTGGTTGGCTTTCAAACTGGCTTCCTGTGAGGTGGGTGCAAAAATAATTGCAGGCTTTGCCATTGAAAGTACTTTTGCACCAACCTAATATGCATGTTCAACAGAGGTGTTCAGCAACCCCAGGGTCACAGAGAGTGGATGGAACAGGTTGAGAAAGAGGAAAGGACTTGACTGGTCAAAACTTAAACATGAGAACAAATCTAAAAGCCATTGTCATGCACTGTGCACAGAGCCCGGCCTGTGCAGACAATGGGCCAACTCACTCCCGGGACTGGGCTCAACCAGGTCTCCCTTGGGTCTCACCTGCATAGGGACAATTCCAGGAATGCGGTCCTTGGCATTCTCAGGGATATGGGCTGCCTTCAGGTGTGGGTCTCCGGAGAGCATCTGCAGGTCGGCCCCCAGGATCTCGGCCAGGGCCACTTCTGAGGTCACCCTGGAGTAGCGGCTCTGCAGACCGCTCAGTTTGACGGCCATCTTGGCCCCCAGCTCGGCGGAAGCATAGTTATCAGCCACCAGTTTCCCGGCCGTCTGCAGCACCGTGGGCACCTTGGCACGCAGAGCCACTATGTCCTGGGCTGTGGAAAGGGCTTCGCTCATGGGCACAGTGATGTCGGGCTCCACGCCAGCCAGGTCCCAGGCCTTGCCTGTGGTGGCACTCAGGGCCATCTGGGTGGGCATGGATGCGTATAAGGGGCTGCTGCCCACCTGGTAGATGCCCACAGAGAGTGCCCCTCCAGCTGTGGGCTCCCCAATGACCGTGGCCCGCTGCAGGTCCTGCATGGTGTGTGCAAAGGCCTCGGCCGCAGAGCCACTGGTGTGGCTCATCAGGATGTAGAGATCCTTGTGTGAGCCATAGCGCTGGCCCGCGACCTGAGGCAGGGTCCACACCTCCATGACTTTCGAGGTGGCCCTGTCAAAGACAGAATACAGGTGCTGGCGGGGTTCTGCCTCAAAGAAGTAGGAACAGAGCAGCGGGATGGCCGTGGAGTAGCTGCCAGGGTTGTAGCGCAGGTCGATCACCAGCGCAGCGGTGTCCACCAGCTGTTGCCATACCAGCCGCACAAGCTGTGGCCCCACGGCCTTCACTGTCTCCAGTTCAGCCATGGCGTCAAAACGCAGGTAGCCCAGCTGGCCGGGCAGCACCTCTGTCTTAAACAGGGCCTCAATAAGGTAGGTGAGCTCCTCTGGAGAGGGGACAGCAGGGGGTGGTGGGGGTGCTTCCTCTACCACCAGCTCACCAGGGCTGTGGAACACTAGCAGGCGGTGGTCCCCAGACACCTCCTGCAGGTCTGCTGTGAGTTGAGAGGCCAGAGACTCCAAGTCCACAGCTGTGCGGTAGGCGCCCTGGGCCAGCTTGGCCCGCAGCAGGGCACTGGTCTGGCCCACGACTTCTGGGCGAGCATAGTGGGCCTCCAGCAGGTGCCCTGTGCCCTCCACCAAGGCCCCCAGGCTCTGGTGGAACTCCAGCACTTCCTGGGCTTTGTCCAGGGCCTCCTCCGCCAGCACGATGGCATCAGGCACCACTCCACCACCCAGCCAGGCCTCGCCGTGATTGTCGATGAAGGTGAGGACCGGCACGGTAAGCGCGAGGCTGCCTTCCGGCGTGTCTAGCAGCGGCACGGTGCGGGTGTGCAGCAGGTTGCCCGCGGTGATCTCACCTACCAGCGTGGCCCAGCCCAGCGACTGCATGAGGAAGGCGAACTCCTCGGCGGCCGTGGCGGTCCGGTGGCTGGTGAGCAGATACACCCCACGTTGGGTGCTGTAGCGTGGGCCCGGGAGCTCCATGTGGCTGAAGTGCTCCTGTGTGATGTTGGTGCGGCGATCATAGGTGGTGAAGAGGTGCACGGGGCCGGCCTCGGGGCCCTGGAAGTAGGACAGGAGCAGGGGCACAGCGGAGGATGGCCCTCCGGGGTTGTGGCGCAGGTCCATGATGAGGTGCTCCGTGTCCTGTAAAGGCTCCCACACCTGGCGCAGGACATATGGGGCCAAAACACCCAGCACGGAGGCGTCAGCAAAACTATCGAAACGCAGGTAGCCCACGTTGCCCGGCAGCACCGACACCTGGAACACAGACTCCACCAGTGCTTGCCGGATAGCGTCGTCCTCAGGCAACTCTGGGGCTGCCCCTGGTGGGTCTTCAGCTGCAGCATCGGGCACTGGCCCAGATGGGGTTTCTCTGGGCCTGATGGCTCGCACCAGGAGCCTGGGATCCTCCGATGCAGCCTGCAGGCCGGCATTGAGCTTGGTGACCAGATCGTCTTCGGAGACCACCGTGGAGAAGTCCATGCTGGCCAGGTGCTGCAGCAGGGTAGGCACACGGTCCACCAGCGTGTAGTAGTCCTTCAGTGCCTCCTGGAGGCAGTGGACCACCCCTGGAAGGGCGCTGCGAAGAGTGAGGATGTCCAGGGCTTTCTCCAGGGCCTGCTCGGCCGGTGTCCCCACACAGGGCAGCACTCCGCTGCCCTCCCACGTCTGGCTGCCTCCACCCAGGGGCCCCAGGGACCTGGACACGGGCACAGTGAAGAAGAAGTCAGACTCGCCTATCCTCAACTTCCGGAGGTCCAGGGCCCCTCCTCCAGTCCGCTCGCCCACCACGATGGCCCTGCGCATCTGCTTGAGGATGTGCGCGATGTCCTCGGCCACGCCTCTGGTCTGGCTGCTGGTGAGGACCACAACATCCTTGTCGGCACCGTACCTTTCTCCCAGGACCTGGGGCAAGGTCCAGATCTCTGTGGTGGTGTTGGAGGGGCGGTTGTAGATAGTGTCCACGTGCAGGATGGTGTTCCCTGGGTGCAGGTAGGAGATGATGTAGGGAATGCCAGAGATCTGGCCTCCCGTGCAGTGCCGGAGATCCAGCACTAAGGCGGAGGTGCCCATGAGCTTCCCCCACACGTGGGCCACCAGGAACTCCCCCATCATGCTCAGCACCTCCTGGCCCGGAACGCTGTCCACCCGCAGGTAGCCCACATTACCCTCCAGAACCTCATGGCGGAGGCCCCTTTGCAGCCAGGCAAGCAGTTCCTCTTCTGAGAGACTGGTGAGTGCTGGGACTTGTGGGGGAGGCTCCGGGGTGCTGGGCTCATAGGAGATGACCAGGCGAGGGTCGTTCAGGGAGCTCTGCACCCCAGCTGTCAGCACACTGGCCAGCGTCTGCGGGTCTGAGATGCTCAGAATCTCGTGGCTCTTGATGGCCTGCTGGATGGCTTCCTGCATGCCCAGCAGGTTCTCTGGGAAGCAGTAGTTATCCAAGAGGACCTTGGCCATGTCCAGCACCAGGCTTGGCTGGAACAGGTGTGTGGGGCCAGCCAGGCCACAGAGCAGCATAGACATGAGCAGAACCCATTCTCTCATCCTGGGACCCAGGGAGAGGCCTGGCTCTTGCACAAAAGCCCCCTGGACTGTGTGCAAGGCCGTGGCCCTGCTCTGTGCAGCTGCCTTCTGCCCTTGTCCTCCTCAGTTGGTGGACAGAAGGTCTGGGGCTAAACTCCTGAGTTGGAGCAAGGCTTCCAGCTCCAGTAAGCCTTTAATCCTGTCTAATTCAATCACATCAACCCTGGGTATCGGGGAGGAGTGGCCAGGGTGGTTTGACCCAGAAGGTACATTGCATCTTATCTTGCTGTGCTGCGTCTGCATATCACAACATTAATCGCTGCCATTATTTTAGTTCCTGCCACATGCCAGACACTGTGCTCCATCCTTTACAAGCTGACAGTTTCCACCAGAGCCTTGCAGAGTCCAGTTATTAACTTGCAAGTCCTCCTTGGAGAACTGGTTCTGCCACTGTCTCTCCCGTGGCCTCAGGGAAGTGTCTTAATTACTTTTTGTGTAGATTAAGTGAGAAAATATGTGTAAAGCACTTCTTCCCAGTACCCAGCAAGTAGGAAGCACTCATTACTGGCAAGTTCTCTGTATTAGATATTATCTCTGTTTCATAGCTAAAAAAAAAAAAACAGGCCAGAGAGTTTTGTAACTAATAGAAGCCCATTGTTTTAGGTGGGGACAGATAGGAGTTGCAGCAAGAAGAAGCCCTTGGGGCTACAGTTGGCCCATATAGTACAGAGGCTGAGTCTGAGGCTGGCATTAGCCTCAGAGCCTGAGATTTATTTCTATGTACCATTAATGCCTCCAGGGAACAGAAGGGGTCCCCCTACAGCTTTCTAATGCTAGGAATGATGTGTCTGGACCATCATGTAGGGTGTGGAGTATAGAGGCACCCACCTTCCAGATGTCACAGGACTAGTATTCCCATTCAGATGAGGTTAGCTCTGAGAGTTAATGGCTAGAGGTGACTCCTGATTCTTGAAGGCTCAACCCACAGCCCGCAGTTTGCAGGGAGAATCAAGCAGGAAGTCTTGGGTCTCTGTGGTCCCAGGCTTCACATGGAATCCAGATCATTCCTTCCGAATGCATAGAGCACAAGAAACAGGGAAAAGTAGATTGCTGGATTCTTCAGATCCCAGCTCCTGCCACTTCTCATATAAATAATGTGGGTGCTGCTTGCAACTGACTGGCTGCAGAAATCCAAGAAGTCCTGCTATGGGGTCGGAACCTGGAAGCCCTGCTTTGCCACTGAATGCCCCTGGAAATGGGCACTTCCCTCACTTAACAGACAGACAACTACTGCCCAGACAGTGGTCACAAGGCCAGGGCAGAGTGTCAGGAGAGCTGTCCCAAGCTAGCTCCGGTAACACTGCCTTGGCTGAGCGGGCAGCAGGCAGGCACGCCTGTGTGCCTCAGCAGGCAGCTGGAGAAGGTGGTCTCAGGGACGTGGGCTTTCTCTGCACAGCTGAGACCCACAGTCTGCTCTTTGGAAATCATTATCTGAGGATGTTTACCAACTGCTTTATGAAGGCCAAAGAGGTCAATTAGCTAAAACAAACATATTTTTAGCTCGTTAGGATTTGTGTAATGCTCAAGTGACATATGGTCACATCACTCCACCGTATGCAGCCAATGGAAGTGAGCCTGATTTACTATGAGAATGGGGCGGGGCTGGGATGCTGCCAACACCTCCGGATGAATGCACTCCTTGCATATCCTTAGACCTGCTGGGAAGGCTGGGCCTTTCTGCCTCCACTTGGAGAATCACAGTTCTGAGCATGCACTTCTGTGTCCTCAGAGGGCACTTGTCTGCCATTGCTTGAGTCCAGGCAAAGCTTCTGGCCCAGAAAGGGCTTGGGGGAGAACAGGAGTAAGACTGTCTTTGGGGGAAGGACTAACTGTAGTCTTACTAGATGTAGTTTCAGGATAGGATGTCTGGACCTATCACTGGGATTTGATTTGTGTGGCTAGCCCCGAGCCTTAAGAGGGACATGAGAAAAAATCAGCCTGTTGCAAGTCCCTGGGCTGCCTGAGTTGGAGGGGCATGGGTAGAGAGGCAGTGTATCTTCTGTGGGTAAGGCCCAAGCAGGTGGAAGGGCAAGTTCTGTCCTCAGAGTTCTCTGAGCTCCAGGGGTTGTGGGGGGATGTAAGCCGATGGCGGCCGGCCTCCTTAGCTCATGAGGAGAGTATGTTCTGGGTAAGTCCCCAGAGTGAAAGCCTAGAGCTCTACGTCTTCCCATCCAGTTCCCGACAACTGTAGGCCCAGGGTGGGTTCAGAGAGTCCATTTGATCTTGGGGGCTGAGTTTCGGAGTTGGAGGGGGCTGGAAGGCCCTGCACCCTCTCACTTATACAAATGTCCTGTGGGCAGAGCTGTGGAGGGCAGCTTAGAAGCCACCCTGAACTGAACTGGTGAGAACTGAATAGGTGAGTGGGTGAGACCTTGATAAGGTGACATGAGACCATGATTAGGTGACTCGACTGCTCTGAGCCTTGGCTTCTTCAAAAGGGAAAAACAGAACAAGGAGAAAAGCCGCAGTATTGCTGGAGGATTAGGTGTTACCATCCTAGAAGTTTTGAAAGGAAGTTGAGGACATAGGAGTTGGTGACGGGCAGCTTGGCTCTGCCTGGGATTAGAACACCCCTGTGGTATTAGGGAAAGTCATTCCAAGAGACTGGGGCTGCCCTGGAGACCTGGAGTCCTAGGGCTTCTTAGGCTCCAAACCTTTCCTGGGCCTCTACATATCTAAGGAGAAATGCCCAGACCCAGGCTCCAGAGACCAGCCCTGCAGCATCCGCAGCGCAGGTTAAGAGGGGGACAATGACACATCAGGGCTGCTGCAGGGATGGTCAGGGAGCATGCGGAGCTGGGCAGTACAGGAAGGAGCGACTTGCCTACTGCATCACAGATGTTGTCTTTTCAGTGTATTGTTGTTTTATGTCTGTCTATTGTTTTATGTTAGTTTTCCCGTCAGTGTTTTATAATGGAAATGTTCAAGTGGTACAGCAAATATCTATATACTATCATTTAAAGAAACGCTTTGACATGTTCACATTTTAAAGAACTTATCTGAGCAGACAGCGATTCATGAATCCGGTAGCTCCCCACAAGAGGTGGTGTGGGGCTCTGCAACGGAGCACAAGGGGAGACTTCCACAGGGTGAAGGCGAAAGTGGAATAAATATTACAGATGCTTTGGTTGCTTAGCGTTTCCGCCCTTGCATGATTTGGAACATCCTGGTGGAAAGTTCGAGACCGTGTAACTGATGTCCAGTTGGCCGTCAGTGATTGACTGGGCTTAAGCTTCGGGTTCTTTTAAATTAGCTGTTTATAGGAAATGAGTCTGAGTTAGGTTTCAATTTGCTCTTGTAGAAAATCAGGGCATTAGAGCTACCTTAGTTTAATGGCTGCCTCCCTAGATTCCACCACTAACATTTTATTACCCCTTTCTCATCTCAGCTCTGCCTTACCAGCTTCCTCTACTCTGCAAGCCTCCTCTCCTCTGCAAGCCAACACATTTTTTAATGCACTTCAAAGCAAATTGAACCTTGACTTTTTATTCATTTTACTTTATTTTCATTTTACATTTTTCTTAAATCAGAGGAGTAAAACATACTCATTTTGTAGAAATGTGCAAACAAACCTTTCCCAAATCTTTTAAAATCCAGCCTCCTTTAGTAACAAGTAATCAGCATTGAATGTGTAGCCATTGTCACCTGTCTCTGCGTACACGCAGGGAGGTGCACGTATAGGAGAGATCCATCCACACATCTCTAGGCAGACCATCCATTTGTCCATCCTATTGTCAGCCCTTTATTAGCATAGATGGTAATTTGCATTTTGTTTTACTCACTTAAACATACAACATAAACATCCTTCCCAGTTGAAGTATACTCATTAAATTCATCCTTTTAATGGCTACATATAGTCTGGGGATTCCTAATCCAAAAATCTGAAATCTGAAATGCTCCAAAACCTGAAACTTTTTGAGCACCGACACAACACCACAAGTGGAAAACTTCACACTTAAGTACTTAACACCAACTTTGTTTCATGCAAAAAATTATTTAAAATATTGATATAATTACCTTTGGGCTGTGCGTATAAGGCATACATGAGGCATAAATACTGTGTTTAGACTAGGGTCTCACTCCCAAGATATCTCATTATGTACATACAGATATTCCAAAATCCAAAGAGAATCTGATATCTAAAACACTTCTTTCTCCAAAACTTTCAGATAAGGGATACTCATCCTGCAGTAGTTCTTGATGATTTACTGATGTGTTCCCTTTGTGAGGCATATTTTAAGTTGTCTTTGTTTTTGCTTCAATATTGTTTCAGCGATATTGTGATAAATGTTTTTGAACACATGTTCTTATGGGCCTAAGGTGCTTTTTCGTTTGTGGATAAATTCCCAAACCTGGTCTTGCTGAGCCAAAGGGCATACACACTTGTTTGTTTTCTTTATTGTGTTTTTTCGGTACCTTTTAAATTATCTAATAAGTGTGTCCTTTTTTTTTCCACAACTTAATTAATGTATAATTAACATATAATGAACCTATTTGAAGTGTATCATTTAGTCAGTTTTGACATGTGCGTACCCCCGCAAAACTCTCACCACCACCTGGGCGACTTATACTGCTGTCGCCCTCAAGTCTTCCTGGTGCCCCTTTGCTCCCCAGTCCCCTCTGCATTCCCATATCCAGACAAACATGGATTTACTTGCTGCCAACACTATAGATCAGCTTGCAGCTTCTAG